CCCCAAAACCCCAAAACCCCAAAACCCCAAAACCCCTTTTTCAATAAATTCAATTGAATTTAAAAATAAAGGGACCAAGAAATGTCATTCAAAAAGCAGATAGAGAATCCGAATAGCACTCCATATATGGCAAAATATAGCAAGAAAGGAACCTACCATGCGCACCATCACTCAGTTGCATTAAATTCTCCTCAGTATACTCATGCAATTTCGTCATCCACAGGCTCGACCCATGAACTGAAGACTGTATCTAGTAGGCTCCCAAAACCTGTTGGCAAATTAACTGGCAAGGGAACTCCTAATATACGAAAGAGTAAAGAAGCAAGAAAGAGTAGCAAAGTTAATGACTTAGTTCCCTCAAAACACAAGCCACGCCATACTAAGGCTTCATCTGTTACTAATTATCCCCAAAGTATCGAAGCTTATTCCAGCAAGACAAAGTCCAATGCACTGAAGCAAAAACCAGCCTATATAATTCTAACAATAGACAATAGTGGAGAAAAGGGAAATCTAAAAAAGAAGGAGACTCCAAAATCCTTAATGAGCTCTCTTTCAAATGCATCATATGCAAAGCAAGGGCAGAGTTATCAGAAACTCTCTAGCCTCAAAAAGAGTTGCAAGAAGAGGCCAACACATCAAAGGACAAAATCTGATCACATTATTAAGTCTAAGCCTTTCATAAACTTCAAGCTGGCCAAGGGTCAATCTTGACTTGGAACTATCCAAAGTAAAAATATGAGGATCAGCAAAGGAAAAGCAAATACTGGAACAAGATCCAGTTTTATGATAAACCCACCGGGTCCATCTAAAATTTCAAAATCTTCGAGTAAGCACTTTTTGCAATTTGTTGCTAAATTATAGTGTCATTAGGAAAAATGAGTAAAGAATGAACAATCTCAAAGGCTAAATATGATAAAAAGACTGTGAAGAGTTCTAAAATCCCAAAAGAAGGTGTAAGCAAGCATAAGAGAGTTAAGTCTAATATGAATAATGCAGGGACTTCAAAGATGTTCTCTGATACTTTGAAGTCCTATCATGGAGGCCATCCAAATAGTAACTCTAAAAAGCTGTTAAAGACTGTTACAAATAAAAGTTCAACTGTATATTCTTATCATAATAAAGCATCATCTGCTGCCTCCACCAAGAGATTATATAAATAAGGAGAGTAAGCCAATAAGTAAAGGAAGCTACATATCGGATAAGAATACCTTCCAGAAGCCAAAAGGATATAAAATAATGGCTAAATAAATCAGTTGCTAACTCTCCAGTAACAAGCTTGAGTAAACATCCAAGCTCAAAAGTAGATTCATCTATAAGACCTCCGACACAAACAAAGAAAAGGAAGATTGGAGGCCATACAAAGAACTCAATGTCTACCCATGTCAAAAAGAAAGAGAACTTCTTCTGTACTCAAGAAAATCAAATACAGGAGGATATTGACGAATTTCCTTCAGGAATACCTGAACAAAAACAGAGAAAGACAGACCATACGAAAAATATTGATGATGATTCTTCTTTATATAAGTACAAAGAGTACAAAAAGATCTACTTTGATGACCCAAAGCAGAAGAAGAACAGTAAGATCATCGAGTCTAACTATGCCACTGAGCAGAATAAATACACGAAATTATTGAACACTCATTTCAACAAAGGTAGAATTTCACTTTGTGCATTATCATATTTTATAGTAACTAAGAAAAGCGGGAGTAAAGATAGAGGAGAGTATTTCAATGACAAGGGTGATAAGTCATCCAAAAGAGAAAGCATTAAGTTTGATGTACTCTCAAGCGAGCCTAAAAGCAATGCATCTAAGAGGGCACAGAACAATTTAAAGAAATATGGAAATGTGAATAAAGAGCACAACATCATTGACTCAATAGTTCAAAAGCATATTAAGAATAAATCAAAATATCAACAAGAATCTCCAGCCAAAGATACTCCTCCTGTAGTGTATCAATACACAGAGAAGAAAAAGAGAGAGGAGCCAAAGAATGATGGGTCTGAAGGAAGCAAATCTGGAAGTCTGGTTTCCTTTGAATACAATTGCAAAGATAGTCAATCTAATTTATACAAAAATAGAGAAAGCTCGAACAGAAATGAGAGTTATGAAATAATGGAACTCAACTCCTTCAATGAAGTCAAAAAGAGCGCTGAAGATGTGCAAGAGAAGTACGAAGAAACTGGCCTCTATGGAGTGTTTGATAAAGTACTTGAGAATCGAAAGAATTTCTATGAAGAAGGATCAATGAAAAATCACAGCATTAATGATCTCCAAGATAGCATCAATGAAGACAAGAAAGTTTTTGGCTCAGATGTTTCTGAGTCTGAACTTTCTCCAAGATCGAAACAAATCTATGGAGTTGTCAAAATTGTGAGAGATCACTTCAAAGAGACAGGTGAACCTCCAGAGACTACCAAAGAATTTTATAGAATTGGTAAATGAATAGGTAAAGGAGCGTTTGGTAAAGTTAATTTGGCTATCCAGAAAGTATCCCAGAGCTTAGTGGCAATTAAGAGCATCAATAAGCAGTACCTTCTTGATGATAGTTCAAAAAGGAAGGTAATGCAAGAGGTCTATATTCTCAAAAAGATTAGGCATGAGCATGTTGTTCATTTCTTTGAGACATTTGAGACTGATAAATACATTCTCCTTGTGATGGAGCTTTGTGGAGGTGGAGATCTACTCAACTACGTTAGAAAAAGACGTAGACTCAAAGAGGATCTAGCAAAATACTTCTTCAAGCAGATAATCCTTGCCCTAAACTATATTCACAGTAAGAATATAGTTCATAGAGATATTAAGTTGGATAATATTCTTCTTGATCATCAAGGAAATGTCAAGATTGGAGATTTTGGAGTTAGTAAGCTTGTCAGACCAGGAGAGCAGATGGCTGAACAGTGAGGCACTCCTGCTTATATTGCTCCAGAAATTTTGCTAGACAGAGGATACTCAGGATATGGAGTTGATATTTGGAGCGCAGGAGTAGTTCTATATTCAATGCTCTATGGAACAGTACCTTTTAAAGGTAACAGCATGGATGAGCTTCATAATTTGATTATCAGAGGAAATGTCACCTATAAAGATGACATATCTCAGGAATCTATTAGCCTATTAAAAGGATTATTTGAATGAGATCCGACTAAAAGAATGACTACTGATCAGATTCTCAAACACGAATGGCTCAGTAATGTGAAAGAAGATTTAAATATCTTCACAGACACAGAAAAAGAAATAATAAAAACTGAATTTACATACAATGATACAAGAAGGTTGAATAGAAACATTAAGAACGAGTCTACAGTGTTCACAGAGCACAACCTGGACTCTACCAGAAAATCTCTGGAAGTTAATCAGACTACAAAATCAGTAATTCTTGCTCCTTTCAATTCAACTAAGACTCATTTGAGTGGATTGCACGATAGCATTAAAGAAATAATGTTCAAGAAAGGTGAGATGCTCAAGCTTGATGCAAAAGTCAGAGATGTTGATAGACAATACGAATTTAACAACAACTGAGAACTAGACAATGGAGTTTACAATAGATTTGTAAATGAAGAGGAAGATAAGAAGGAAGAAGAAAAATCAGTCCGTTTAGATGGCCAAAATTCTCAGTCAAAACTCAATAGAGGTGAATCTAACAAACAGACAGGCCTCAGAGAAATAGAAGGAATGATGGAAGAACAGAATGTTGAAGATAAAACTCATGGAAGATCTACATCTCATGTTAGAACATTATCAACAGTTATTTCAGAGTTAGATCAAGAGATCATAAGAAAAGTTTGAAGTTTTGGGTATCCAAAAGAGTTCCTTATGAATTGATTGAGAATGAATAATTTGAATTATTCTACTACATCCTACTATCTCCTACTTCACAAGAAAGTGCGCGCATCAGAGGAGTAGTGAGACGAGGACACCATTTCTAAGTTATTCCTATTCCCTCAATAATTTTATGACAAGACGGGGTTTTGGGGTTTTGGGGTTTTGGGG